TGCGTCGGGGGCAGTCGCGTAGTAGAATATTAAACGTGTTTAATATTTCTCACGACGGCTTAAGACTGTCCCCGACGATAAATCGGGTCGGGCTGCGTCGGCCGACGCTGTCTGAGTTGGCCTTAATGTAAAGTTTTTTTCTTAGATTGTAAGCAAAAGTTCTATGGGAGACCGTTTTTTCTTTCAAAAGAAGATAATAAATTGTAAACTTAAAATGCCTTTAATTATGTTTATTGTTATTTGAACAAAATTGTAAAGTGAGCAGCAAATACTCCAGATTGAAATATATTTTTTTCTAACAATAACAAATAACCATATAGAGTAATGTATTTTTTTTTTTTGAATAAAACAATTCAGTTCAGTTAGCCGAAATACTTTTGTAGTCACGCATACTTTTTATTCGTTACAGATTTCAATGGCGCGTTGGTTCCATGCTTACAATGTCTATCTTTTTAGTAATATGTTCTTTTATATTTTGGGGAATACATCTAGATCGTAAGTGGTTATAATAACAATTATTTCTTTTAATATTATTGATGCTAAATTATCTACCTACTATGAATGGTAAATTAGTCAAAAATTTACTTTTCCTGGACAAAATCCTTAATGCCGGGTACTCACTACGCCCCACGGTTTTCGGCAGACGCGTATGAAGAACCCAATGCACAAGGCTCTAGTAACGGATCCATTCAGAATGCCACCGAAAATCAGCAGACGGCGTTTCGTCGTCTAAAGGCCAGCTCAGACGGCGTCGTACGACGCAGCCCGACGCGATTTGTTGTCGCGACGGGTCTGTGTGAGTTAAACGCAGGCTAGGCGCGATGGTTTGCGTCGGGGCAGTCGCGTCGTATAGAATATTAAACATGTTTAATATTTTCTCACGACGGGAGTGGAGTTGGATTCGTCGGCCGACGGTCGTGCGACCGCCGTACGATGCAGTGAGTGCCTTGCTTAACATCCCATGATTTTCCTATACCTCCACCTTAAGCTACATAGTAAATTATATATTCTAATACCGTACAACGTTTAACATTTACGAATAATATCTAGTTAAGCTTTTATGTTATATTCTATAAATCGACCACAACAAATAATCTTAATTTCTGACTACAATGTGGATTGGCAATGCAGTCAGTTGGATTAGTATAATACCGTACTGTGTATTTAAATATTTACTATAAGCCATTTTTTTTCCAAACTATGTCACACTCCATTTTATTTCAGGAAACAATAGTACTAAATTTCAACTTACTGGAGGAACAACCTTAAATAACCTGCCAAGAATTACGCTGGCAGCACAGCAAAATAAAGCTCAGAACTTGATGAAGGAAACAGTGGTTTTAACTTCAACTAATTCTGGATTTTCAGATATGGCAACGAATTGGCTTGAATCCATCAAGAAACTTGGAATACGCCCTAACATCATACTAGTTACTGAAGACGAAGAAGCATATGAAAAACTGAAATCATATAAAGATTCCACAACGTGTATTCGCAAAGGCAGTTTACTTCAATCAACGAACAAGTCAAAATTGGTCTATGATACTCCTGAATATAGAAAGCTTGTGTACAGACGTCCAAAGTATATTTACGATGAACTCCGTAAGGGCAAAAATGTATTTTTCTGTGACGTGGACACATTTTGGTTGAAGGATCCTTTCCCATATCTCGTCGGAGATTATGACGTCATTCTGCAAAGAGATGTTTATTTTAGACCAAGTTATGTACCTATCAGATACTGTGCCGGCATGGTTTACTTTCGCTCTTCAACATCCGTAATCAAATTTGTCAACAAATGGTCACAAATGACACTTAAAGAAAAATTAGATAGTAAAAATAATGATCAGACGATTATGAATAAACTACTAAAGGAAGCTACATTAAAACGAAAAATTCTAACCTCACATGAATTTCCAAATGGACAAATTTATTTCAATGGCACGTTGTCTGCTGCAGATCGCCAAAAAGCGGTGGTTGTTCACAATAATTGGGTGACAGGACACAATACCAAAGTTAATCGCTTTCGAAACGCAGGATTGTGGCTTATTGACGCTTTTCAGAAGTGAAAATGTAATTATTATTATTATTATTATTATTATACTCAAACATTTATAAGGCGCCAATTCCAAGAATGATCAAAGGCGCGAGCGTTATTAACCCTGGTCACTGGATAACGTACAATGGAAAACCAGCACAAAGTGCAACTTCCTCTGCTCCCTGGGAGTATCCCTAGTCGTTCGCTACTTCTTTAGCGCACGAAACTATCAACATTCAATGCCACAACATCCTACCAGGTACCCATTTATACTCCTGGGTAGAGAGAGGCAAACGTAGATAAAGTGCCTTGCCCAAGGACACAAGCAACTTGCACAGCGAGGGTTTCGAACCCCTATTATTGTTATCAAGAGTGACACCCACAAGTTCAAGAACCACATACATAATAGTACAATAATATTGGTCAGTAATTTCCCAGGAACCAGTGGCATAACAACCATGCATGTCACCTTTGTGTAAATTATTTTTTTTATTGTTGTCTTACTCGAGTTGGGGAAGTCCCCGAGGAGAGGACGAAATATTCGTGCCTAATAAGATATTATGTTCCTATAGTACTACAACTGTGATTGTTTCAATGTCTATATTTACATATATTAGTAATGCCTACTTTACATATGAATATTAAGATGCATCTTACTGTGTTTCGAAATAAACAAGATACGTAATGTTACAATTTGTAATTATTACTCAATTCTGTCTCAGTCAGAATGTTCATTTTACGTCAAGCGTAATTAGAGACTACAGGAGTAGTCGAGATATTTGTTAGAATGCATTTTAGTGTTTCTAAAGTAAAAGTTGTTCTTATATGAGTACTCATTATATATATATATATATATATATACTGTAGCTTCCCCTTTTTAATCTATTTATTGCTTTTTCTACTTTTTTTTTAACATTGAAGAGACTTCACGTGCATTTGTACGCCAAGCTTAATTTCATCCCCAGTTTGTTGTCCCTCATTTCACAGAGTTTCTTCTAAAACAAATCAAACTGCTTAGAATTCCTTTCTTATCTGAAGTAACTACACCGTAGCTAAACTTAATTGATGTCTGAGTTTTTACTTCTTCTTATTTATATATTTCTGCTTATAACTGTTTCCACTGTTCTTTCGTATAGCCTCCTGTGCCATCTTAGTTATTTTCTTCCTATTTAAATTCTTGTTTTTTTAGGAATGGCCTTGTTAATTCTGTCTATTTAATCTGATTTCGAATTGAATGCCCTCTAAATGGACTTAACGTTTTTTTTTTTTTTTTGGTTTTTTTTTTTCATTTAAACTTAGGATCTCCTCTTTTTCCTTATGGTCCTTAACAATCTGCAATTTTGGAAAATTCACCAATTTTCTACAATTTTCATAATGATGTTCTTAATTGACGTCTTCATACTTAAAATCTTTCCCCATGTAAGCGTATTTAGCTTTCTTTGACGGGTGTGTGGATTTGGGTGGGTGTGTGTGGGTGTGGGGGATGCGGGTGTGTGTATTTCTTATGCTAAAAACAATGCCTGCACCAGAAATTCAGAGTCCAGACGAACGGAAGAGCAGTTAGAAAAGACGATGTATCTAATTTGGTGTAGGCCTACTACCGGTACACCCTGGAGCACAAAAATCCACACATGTAGGTCTACTTAGTATTTAAAAACAATACAACGTCCAAAATTCCCCGACAAAGAGTCCAAAATTCTCAGTGAGTTTATATGGGGCTGAGGTGAGCAAATTTTTAAAATAGGCACCTCTTAGATTCCAGGAAATGACTTTCAAACTGTAAAAATATGTTTTCAAAGCGGTGTTTTCAACAAAATGATATGCCCCCCCCCCCACCAAACCTGCTCCTAGGATATGCGCTGGGGCCGCCATGGTTAGACATCACCACATAATCGTTATCCGCATTAGTTTACCAAGCCTATACTCTACGCAACTACAGTAGATACAGTTAGCTACGGTCTGAAAAAGTCAGGCTATAGTAGACGGTCGTGTTTCTAATAACAGAAAAACTTTTTCTGTAAATTGAGCAATGTTGCGTGGCCCGGATCAAAATTTTGGGTGGGCCAGATACTACATACATTTATTTTATTTTATGCAATTCTCAACCTACATACAAATATATATCAGAACACATAGGATATATTTAATATTAAACTGTGCAATAAAATACTTCAATATGTACAACTCTGAAAATGATAAAAAAAAAAACAAAACAACACAGATGAAACCAAACACCATCACACCGTTCCCCAGCAATTCAGTGCACAAGATCACCAGGACAGTATTCACTGATGCTCAAGTGATATTGGCATTTATACCTAACCAATACTTAGTCGGTCGACGCGATCTCATAGAGAACATGTGATATATAATTGGTTTATGGGCCGAAGAGCAGCTTAGCTTAGTCTGCTAATCTGGTGGTAGCCACTGTGTGTGCCCTGAACCGTGGAGATTTCTAGGTCCCCGGTTCAATTTCCATTGATTCTTCTCTTTCTGTTTCAGCTAGAGGGCTGAAATATAAGTTACAATAGGCACCGTCTTTCGGATGAGACGTTTAAGCCGTTGGTCCCGTGTGAATTTATGGCCCATGTGCACGTTAAAGAACGCAGTACACTCTTCGGAAAAGAGTAGGGGATTGTCTCCCGATGTACTGTCCAATCACCACCAGAAGGACCCCACTGGAAATAAGTCTTCTTCTAGACTTTCGTGGGCTACCCTTGGTGTTTACACCGAATAAATCCAATCCAATCTAATCCACAGGCTCGCTTGAAGAGTGAAGTATGGTGAATGAAAGATTCGAAAATAATGATCATTGATTCTTTAAAAAAGGAACTAGAAAGATGATTTTTTTTAGAGGGGATTTTTGATATGCCATTAGTAATTATTAAGCGGGCCCCTCAACATCAGATTTATTCTGTAAGGGTCGCCCACTCAAAATATGGTTTTAAATAAATAAATAAATAAATAAATAATTGAATCGACTTTAAAATCGTTTTTGGCAATTTTTTTAAATGATATTATAGGCCATTATAGGCCATTATTATGGTAGAGAGCAACTTAGCTGTGTCGGCTAATCTGGAAGTAGCCAATGTATGTGCGCTGAACCGTGGAGATTTCTAGATCCCGGGTTCAAATCCCATCGCTGCTTCTTCTTGTGTTTCAGCTGGAGGGCTAAGATGCAAGTTACAATAGCGAACCGTTTTTCGGATGAGACGTTTAAGCCGTTGGTCCCGTGTGCATTTATGGCGCATGTGCACGTTAATGAACGCACTACACTTTTCGGAAAATAGTAGGGAATTGTCTCCCAGTGTACTGCCCAATCACCACCAGAAGGATCTCACTGGAAATAATTCTTCTTCTAGACATTCGTGCAGGCCCGTAGCCAGAGGGGGGTCGGAGGGGTCGGACGACCCCCCCCTCGGCTGGGGTCACTCTTTTCCAGGCCAAATATTTTTCTCATAGAGCTGCTAGACCTATAGCCTGTGGCCTGTGGATCTATCTCAGGCCAAACGAGCTGACAAGCATACTCAATAAGTAGATTTAATGCCAAAGACATCACCTAATTATGCCTTTTATTCATCTCGTACCCTTGTTGACTCATGCAGTGACACTGATATTAACTTTTAGTTCAGTCGAATGTTCTTGCCTATCTTGATTCTAGAGCGAATCATGGTCAAAATATCACCTCGTCCTGTGTATACACCTTTGAATCATGATAATTATATTCAGCATATGCAAGGGTGTCAGCCTTAACTTTTATATGCTAAAACCATCATTTATAGCCTCTAGATTAAAACATTTTCTGGGTGAGGATGCCCCCGTACTACATGTGCCTACGGTACACATTTGGTCGCGGAGACACCCGTATAAAAAGGTCACCTTTGGCTAAAAAAAGACCCACCCCCTTGGAAGTCTGGCTACGGGCCTGTCGTGGGCTATCCTTGGTGTTTACACCTGAATAAATACAATCCAATTATATACGATTTTACCCCCCCCCCCCCCCCCCTCTCTCTCTCTCTCTCTCATTATGGGCGTTGCAACATAGTAAGGTAATAAAGATCGTATAAATAGTGCCGCGTAGGGTATACGCTGCATACGATCAATGCCTTTTAAAGTAATAATTTTTAATATCCGCATAAAAATGAAATCAAAATGTTTTTTATGTTTTTGTAGATATTATTATAAGCGAACATTGTAATATATCATTACACTCTAATTGATAAGATATTAACCATCAATATTATCCATCAATATATACAGTAAAATATAAATGAAAGATTTACTAAAGTTATAGCTAGACCCAATAAAAACAACACACACTGATATCATAGCGAATAATATTCAAATCAAGTTGCTGTAATATATATTGATTTTCTTAAGGGAAGGGGAAATTTGTGTGGAATCATAATAGTGTGTAATAATCCAGCAAACTTTGGTTGGTTGCATTTTTTTTTGCTATATTATAGAGGGGTAGCCAACAATTTCAAAATGGCCGCCATTTTTTAACATTTTAATACCAATAGTTTTTATGACAATATACTAATATTCTTTCATATAAGTAACAATAAATATAAAATAATATTTTACCTCAAATTTGCAAAATTCAAATCCAAAATGGCCGCCATTTTAATTATTTTAGCTATTTTTTTTAGCAAATATTTAATTTCTGAAGTTAATTACTTAACTAGGCATTTCAAATGGAACAAATTGAAACAAAAATACAGGTAGGTGTAGGGTTGGTAAAATCTAGAAATTGCACCTTAGTTAATATGCAAATTAGCTTAAATATGCAAATTAGTTGGAGATACAGGATATCTTTGCAACCACTGGTCGTACAGAGTTGCTTCTTTTTTTTTTAATTGCTCAGACCATACATTATTTCTATTTGCATTAATGTAACAATTTGTCCAAGAGTGACCGGAAATGTAACATTTTATTTCTGACCTTATTTTTCAGGATTTTAAATTTAAATTTCCTTGCCTAGTGTTCGTAGAGACTTCGTTTTGGTCTCAAATTATTCAGATACGTGTTTCTATTTGACAGTGAAAAAGATATTTTGTCCTGAACTTTGGCCTAACAAGTAATTTTAAAATGTTACATACTTGTCAAATTTTTAAGCATGTATTGCTTCTATAGTACACCTTAATGGAAAACTTGTTGTTTTCAAAAAACGCCTTTTATAACCACCACCAGCAAATAATAATAGAGATCTTTAAGTACATATGTTTCTGCCTACTTCACTGACGAGTAGCAGATATAAATATATTCATAGTTTTTACTTCAGGAAGTAAATGTTTTTAGGCTGTTTTCATTGTGAAAATACTCAAACAACTTGTCGATCACATCACGGACTAACATAATCAAAGTAGATTGTGTTAGTTTGTGAAATCAAGATAGCGTGTCAAAATACGCGCTGTTGCTGTTAACGAAAGGAGATTATGTATTCACAGTTATGTAACGGTGGCAGATGTTTTTTAGATCTAGCCGTAGGCGGGCGCCACATTGTTTGTATTCCCACCATGCATTTCGGTGGAACAGTTTTTTTCAGTGGAGAACTCTATCTTGTTTTCTAGTATCTTTGCTTTGATTGTGTTTGTTCGTGATGTGAGCGACGAACTAAGGGAGTCGCACAAAAACTGACAAAATTCTAGTATTTTGGTAGTTCATCTGAATCAAGTACTACTTTTCCAAACTTCCGGACCATCAACTCC